ATCTAAATAAGCAACATCAGAAATAACAAAGGTGTCCCTTGTAATAAGTGACCCCACAATACAAGAGAAATACAAAAGATCCTCAGAGACTATTATCAACACCTCTGCACACATAAACTAGAAAATCTAGAGGCAATAGATAAATTCCTGGAAACACACTATCTCCCAAGATTGAACCAGGAAGAAACTGAAAGACTGAACAAATCGATATCTTGTTCAGAAATTGAATCAGGGTTCTCTAGAGAAAAGGAACTAGGCCGGGCGCGGTGGCTCACGCCTATAATCCCAGCACTTTGGGAGGCCAAGGCAGGCGGATCATGAGGTCAGGAGATCAAGACCATCCTGGCTGACACAATAAAACCATGTCTCTACTAAAAATACAAAAAATAGCCAGGCATGGTAGTGGGCGCCTGTAGTCCCAGCTACTCGGGAGGCTGAGGCAGGAGAATGGCGTGAACCCGGAAGGCAGAGCTTGCAGTGAGCCGAGATCAGGCCACTGTACTCCAGCCTGAGTGACACAGCAAGACTCCATCTAAAAAAAAAAAAAAAAAAAAGTGAAATCGGTACTAAAAAACTTACCAGCCAAAAAAAGCTTTGGACCAGCTAGATTTACAGCCACATTCCACCAGATGTACAAGGAAGAGCTGCTACCAATTCTACTGAAACTATTCCCAAAAATCAGGTAGGAGGAACTCCTCTCTAACTCATTCTATGAAGCCAGCATCACCCTGACCTCAAAACCTGGCAAAGACACAGTGAAAAAACAAAACTCCAGGCCAATATCACTGGTGAACATAGATACCACAATCCTCAACAAAATACTAGCAAACTGAATTCAACAGCACATCAAAAAGTTGGCCGGGCGGTGGCTCATGCCTGTAATCCCAGCACTTTGGGAAGCTGAAGTGGGTAGATCACTGGAGGCCGTAAGTTTGAGACCAGCCTGACCAACATGGCAAAACCCCATCTCTACTAAAAATACAAAAAAATTAGCCAGGCACGGTGGTGCATGTCTGTAATCCCAGCTCCTCAGGAGGCTGAGACAGGAGAATCACTTGAATCTGGAGGTGGAGGTTGCAGTGAGCCAAGATTGTGCCAGTGCACTCCAGCCTGAACAACAGGGTGAGACTCCATCTGAAAAAAAAAAAAAAAAATTAATTCACTATGATCAAGTGGGTTTCATTCCTGTGATGCAAGATTGGTTCAACATGCATGAATCAATAAATGTGATTCACCACATAAACAGAATTACAAACTAAAACCATCACCCCAATAGATGCAGAAAATGCTTTCAAAAAAATCCAACATCCTTTCATGATAAAAACCCTCAAGAAACTAGGCATGGAAGGAACGTACCTCAAAATAGTAAGAGCCATCTATGACAAACCCACAGCCAACATGATACTGAACAGGTAAACACTGAAGCATTCCCCTTGGAACAAGAAAAGCAATCCCAGCCGGGCGCAGTGGCTCACACCTGTAATCCCAGCACTCTGGGAGGCTGAGGCAGGTGGATGAACTGAGGTCAGGAGTTCAAGACCACCCTGGCCAACATGGTGAAACTCCATTTCTACTAAAAATACAGAAAATTAGCTGGGCGTGGTGGCAGACGCCTGTAATCCCAGCTACTCGGGAGGCAGGAGAATTGCTTGAACCCTGGAGGTGGAGGCTGCAGTGAACCGAGATTGTGCCACTGCATTCCAGCCTGGGCAACAAGAGCAAAACTCTGTCACAAAAAAAAAAAAAAAAAAAAAGCGAGAAAGAAAAGAAAAAAAGAAAAGCAGTTCCATTATAGCTCCATTATTGGGTATATATCCAAAAGAAAACAAATTATTCTACCAAAATGACATAGGCACTTGTGTGTTCATCACAGCACTATTCACAATAGTAAAGACAAGGCATCAACCTAGGTGCCCATTAATGGTGGCTAAGATAAAGAAATCGTGGTACACATACATTGTGGAATACTACATAATCATAAAAAAGAATGAAATCATGTACTTTGCAGCAACATAGATCCAGCTGGAGGCCATTCACAAGTACATAAAACCATAAACATAGGGTACTGATATGGTTTGGTTCTGTGTCCTCACATAAATCTTATCTCCATCGTAATCGCCCCTTGCCAAGGAAGGGACCTGTAAGCCCCACGTGTTGTGGGAGGGAAGTGATTGGATTAACTGGGCAATTCCGCCCCCCGCCCCAGTGGTTCTCGTGATAGTGGGTGAGTCTCGCGAGATCTGATGGTTTTAAAAGTGGAATTTTTCCCTGCGCTCGCTTCCACGCGCTCCTGCCATCTTGTGGAGGAGGTGTCTGCTTTCCGTTTTGCCTTCTGCCATGATTTTTAAGTTTCCTGAGGCCTCGCCGGCAAACGATGCGGAACTGTGAGTCAATTAAATCTCTTTCCTTTATAAATTACCCAGTTTCAGGTATTTCTTTTTTTGTTTTTTTGAGACGGAGTTTCTCTCTCGTCACCCAGGCTGGAGTGCAGTGGCGCAATCTCGGCTCACTGCAACATCCGCCTCCCGGGTTCAAGTGATTCTCCTGCCTCAGCCTTCCAAATAGCTGGAATTACAGGGGCCCACCACTACGCCCAGCTAATTTTCGTATTTTTAGTAGAGACGTGGTTTCACCATGTTGGCCAGGTTGGTCTGGAACTCCTGACCTCAAGTGATCCACCTGCCTCAGCCTCCCAAAGTACTGGGATTATAGGCATGAGCCACCATGCCCCGCCTCAGGTATTTGTTGATAGCAGTGTGAGAACAGACTAATACAGGTACTCAGGGACATAAAGATGACAACAGTAGACACTGGGGACTATGAAGCGGGGAAGGGAGGAAAGGGGGCAGCGGTTGAAAAACTAACTCTTGGGAACTATGCTCACCACCTGGCTGATGGGATCATTCATATCCCAAACCTCAGCATCACGCAATACACCCATGTAACAAACCTGCGTGTGTATACCCTACATCTAAAATAAAAGTTGAAAATAATAGACGAGGTCTTGCTATATTGCCCAGACTGGAGTGCAAGGCCCATTCACAGGGTGAATCATGGCGCACTGCAGCCTCAAACCGCTGGGCTCAAGGGATCTTCCCACCTCAGCCTCCCAAGTAGCTGGGATTACAGGCCCCCATTGCTACGCCCAGCTGAGGATCTTACATTTTAAAAAGAACAGTCCAGATGTAAGAGATTTACAAAAGCAGGAGATCGATTAACTAGTCCAAAATGGAAACGGCTGTTGACTACGGTGTGGGGGCCTTCGTGAAGTCAAAGAGGAATCTGGACACACCTGACAGACTGATGGAACCAGTCCTTTGTTGCATTGGCTGGAAGGGTTGAAGGAGAGAAGGAACCTAGCACGATGATCTCAATCTGGTTACAAAACATGATTCCAGAGAAGAAGGTTGATTAGTAACAGCACTTTGCTATCATTTATTGATAATAAATGCTTTTGTTATCCTTTGCTACGTAACAAACTATCCAAAAATAGTTTAAAACAAGGAACTGGAGGCCCAGGCAGGCAGATCATGAGGTCAGGAGGTCGATACCAGCCTAGCCAACACAGTGAAACCCTGTCTCTACTAAAAATACAAAAATTAGCTGGGCGTGGTGGCAGGCACCTGTAATCCCAGCTACTTGGGAGGCTGAGGCAGGAGAATCGTTTGAACCCGGGAGGCGGAGGTTGCAGTGAGCCGAGATTGTGCCACTGCACGCAAGCCTGGGAGACAGAGCTAGTCACCGTCTCAAAAAAATTAATAAACAAAAAAACCCACAAGGAACTGTGATTATCCCGAGTTTCTGTGGGTCAGGGATTCAAGAGCAGTTTAGGCCAGGCATGATGGCTCACACCTGTAATCCCAGCACTTTGGGATCAAGAGGCCGGGAGTTCGAGACTGACCAGGGCAACAGAGCAAGACCCTATCTCCACAAAAGGTAAAAAAAATAGCCTGGTGTGGTGGTGTGTGCTTGTAGTCCTCAGGAGGCTGAAACGGGAGATTCCTTGAGCCCAGGAGTTCAGGGGTACAGTGAGCCACGATTGTGCTGCTGCACTCCAGCCTGGGTGACAGAGCAAGAGCCTGTCACACACACACAAAAGATAGTTCAGAAATCACTCTGTCATTTTCACAACATCCAATAGGTGCAGAGGCCAGCCCTATTCAGTACGGGAGGTGACTGTACCAGGGCACGAAACCAGGAGGTGGGGCTCATTAGCCACTCTCTCATCTTGGAGGCCGCTGCCCACCACGTGGTACTTCATGATCTTGTTCAATAATCACAACAGGCTAGTAATAATTTTTCCCCTACTCAGAAGAGGGAATTTTGCTCAAGACCAAACAACTAAGAAATAGCAGCCCTTGAATTTGAACCCCACTGTCCTTGGCTATGTTGGAGCTCTATGGCATGCAGGGGTGATGGCAGCAAGAACTGATAGAATGTCCCCCGAATCCCATTCGACTCTGGACTCCAGGCAGCAAGACATTGTATTTCTCTCCTCCGGCCGGGTCACCAGGGGGACTGGTATCTTCTCTTAGACTCTTGCACAGGTCATGGGGAGTTTAGGCCCTGGGAGGGTGCCAGTTAGCAGGGGCGAGAAGAACGAACTGCCTCTCTCCTGTCGCTCTGCGTTTTGCCCCAAGACAAGGGGCTGCCATTCAGAATGGGTCAACTTCCAGGCCAGTGACTGGGTCAGATTTGCTGGAAGGCAGAGTCACTATCAGAAGATCTGTCACCTCACCACACACACACCATGTGCAAGCACACATGCGCACACACACGTGCAAGCACACAAGTACCCATGCACACACATCACCTGCATGCACACACACCAAACACATGCACACCCACCATACACACGCACACATGCACACATATGCACACTCTCCTAGTCGTCTGCTTCTGAGTGACCAGATGGCTTTTTTTCACAACTACTTATTGAGCACCTGCCAGGTGCCTGGTATGCTTCTGGTTGCAAAGGACACAGAGCATGGAACAGAGACATGGCGTCTGCTCATGTGGAGCCTGTGGTCATGCACCCTGCTGGACGGCTGCCTTTCCGGGGTCACTTCTGCTCCTCACATCTGCTGGGGCTCATCCCCTTCTTCCATGTGGTGTTTGGGCACAGGCATGGGGAGGTCCCCCTAGACCTTGCGCCTAAGCCTTGAACTCTGGCCCACTTTACCAAAAGCCCAAATTAAGGAATTGATCATCTGCTTAGTAATAGTTTAGAACCTTTAGAGTATATTACAGCCTGCAGAAGTTATACCAGCCTGTCTCGACTCTTTTAGTCACAGTGAGATGGAGCTTTCAGAAAATCAAGAGACTAAGATGAGGCCAGGTATGGTGGCTCACATCTGTAGTCCCAGCACTTTGGGAAGCTGATGTGGAAGGATCACATGAGCCCAAGAGTTTGAGACCAGCCTGAGCAACATAGTGAGACCCCATCTTTCAAAAAAAAATTAGCCTGGTGTGGTGGCACATGCCTGTAGTCCCAGCTACTCAGGAAGCTGAGGCAGGAACATTGCTGGAGTCCAAGAGTTTGAGGCTGCAGTGAGCCATGATCGGACCACCGCACTCCAGCCTGGGTGACAAGAGTGAGGCCCCGTCTCAAAAACAAAACAAAAGAGACCAAAATCAGTCAAATTCTTCTTACTGTTCTCTCCCTCCCTGCCTAGAGCTGTACTTTCAGACACCACTCATTGTCCTTCCTGCCTTCCCAGGCAATTCAGGACTCTGCAGTGACATCACTCATCTGGTCTCAGGGGCAGCCCAGAGGTATCTGACTGCAGACACAGCCAGGTTCCGTGGGCACAACTGGGTGGCAACTTCAGAGGGCAGCGGGGACGCCTTCATTGCCTCTCCTCGCACAGAAACGGTGGGCTCTTTCTGACCCAGCGTGGTGGTTCATGCCTGTAATCCCAGGTGCTTTGGGAGGCTGAGACGGGAGGATTGCTTGAGACCAGGAGGTCGAGGGTGCAGTGAGCTATGATCGCACCACTGCACTCTAGCCTGGGCAGCAGAGCGAGACCTCATCTCTAAGAAAATAAAGAAAAGCTGGGCATGGTGGCTCATGCCTGTAATCCCAGCACTTTGGAAGGCTGAGGTGGGATAATCATGAGGTCAGGAGATCGAGACCATCCTGGCTAACATGGTGAAACTTGTCTCTACTAAAAATACCAAAAAAAAAAAAATTAGCCAGGCATGATAGTGGACGTCTGTAGTCCCAGCTACTCGGGAGGCTGAGGCAGGAGAATGGCGTGAAGCCGGGAGGCGGAGCTTGCAGTAAGCCAAGATCACGCCATTGCACTCCAGCCTGAGCAACAGAGTAAGACTCCGTCTCAAAAAAAAAAAAAAAAAAAAAGAGAAACAGTGTTCTTGACACAGCCAGTCAGAACTGTGTGACTCACTTGAGGCAGGACTGAGAGTGACATCTAGTTGCACCTTTCTCGCCTCTGGACCCTCGGGGTGAGTTCCTCTTTGTCCTCTTGTGGAAACAGCACACAGCAAGCAACCACAAAACCAGAGCGGAAGGAGGGACTTCCCACCAGCATCCGGCCCTGGTGCCATGTTTTATCATCTGGAACCGTTGTGAAGCCTTGTGTGACTTGCTCAGGATCAGTGGTCACCATGGTCTAATCCCAAGAGGGACTTGTCACCCAGAGACCTCAAAAGGCCCCAGGCCCACTGTGGTTTTCTCTGAGAGGCTCCCAGAATCAAGTGGCACGTTGATTTCCGGTGCGTCTGTGTCTTTGTGCCTGTATCTTGCTGGGGGACTTCACAGGAAGCAGGATTTGGGCATTCCTGAGGCTCCCAGCCAGACACCACCCCTGAGCGCCACATCCCATGATCGCTTCAGCCACAGGCCTTTGACATTTCCATGTGGCAAGGCACCCAGCAGAAGGTGAGGATGATGGGTGATGCCAGATGGATGAGTACCAGGTGGATGGCCCACACACGAAGCCTCGAGACCCTCAGGACTGGCCATATAATCTGCAAGGTCCAGTGTGAAATGAGAATAAGCAGCCCCCACGGCCAGGCATAGTGGTTCATGCCAGCACTTTGGGAGGCCGAGGTGGGTAGATCACTTGAGGCCAGGAATTCGAGACCAGCCTGGCCAACATGGCAAAACCCTATCTCTACTAAAAATACAAAAATTAGTTGGGCATGGTGGCACACACCTGTAACCCCAGCTACTCGGAGGCTGAGGCACAAGAATTGCTTGAACCTGGGAGGTGGAGGTTGCAGTGAGCTGAGATCATACCACTGCACGCCAGCATAGGCGACAGAGTGAGACTCTGTCTCAAAAAAAAGAGAGGCTGGGTGCAGTGGCTCACGCCTGTAATCCCAACACTTTGAGAGACCGAGGCGGGCAGATCACCTGAGGTCAGGAGTTTGAGACCAGCCTGGTCAGCATGGTGAAACTCTGTCTCTAATAAAAATACAAAAATTGGGCATGATGGTGGACGCCTGCAATCCCAGCTACTCCAGAGGCTGAGGCAGGAGAATCGCTTGAAACCGGGAAGTGGAGGTTGCAGTGAGTCAAGATCACGCCATTGCAGCCTGGGGAACGAAAGTGAAACTCCATAAAAAAAAAAAAAAAAAAAAAAAAGAACGAGAATGAGCAGCCCCATTGGAAAATTATGAAGAATTTCAAGACAGCAACAGCAGAGCGTTAAACAGAGCACAGGGCCCCTCTGCCCACGAGGCCCTGGGCAACAGCTCACAGGTCATCGTCTGTGTTGCGAGCCCTATGGGTCCCTCCGAAACCGTGCCCCAAGTAGTTTAAGATGTCAGGGACTAACAGAAATTCTTGAGTTTGCAGGATAGCAGGTAAGAAAAGAAACAACTTCCTAAAAAGCTGACACTCCCTCCACTTGTGAGATTTTAGAAACTGGCAGAAATTGGCTGGAACCAAGATGGCCAACGGGAGTCCGTGCAGAACAGGCTTTCAGACATCAAAGCCTAAATTTCCACTGCGTGTTTCATACTAATGTCTCCTGATTTGCACATGCGACCCATGAGGAGGCATGAAGGATAACTGCGCCTCCCCAAGGACCTCCCCTTACCTTCCACCCCATAAACCTTTTCCAATAAAATTACGCCTTAAAGCCAGTACAGGGAGGCAGCTTTGAGCTGGACTCCTATTTCCTTGTAAGTCAACTTGCAATAAAAGCTTTTCTTTTCTCAAAAACCCAGTGTCGGCCGGGCGCGGTGACTCATGCTTGTATTCCCAGCACTTTTGGAGGCCAAGGCGGGCAGATCATGAGGTCAGGAGTTCGAGACCAGCTTGGCCAACATGGAGAAACCCTGTCTCTACTAAAAATACAAAAATTAGCCAGGTTTGGTAGCGGACACCTGTAATCCCAGCTACTTGGGAGGCTAAGGCAGGAGAATTGTTTGAACCCAGGAGGTGGAGGTTGCAGTGAGCCAAGATGGCGTCACTGCACTCCAGACTGGACAACAGAGCAAAACTCCGTCTCAAAAACAACAACAACAAAAAAGAAGTTAGTGTCGTAGCATTGGCTTTTAGCACATGGGGCAGTGAGCCCCCTTTGCCCAGTAATGCCTTCACCCTGCCACAGCTGGGTAGCCCTCCATTCAATTCTGGACAGTGAAACGCGTTTGCAGGTCTGCTGGTGACTGGTTTGCATGTCATATCTAGGCAACTACAGCGTCCTGGCTGAGTCAGGTGCGGACTGTTGCTGGCTTGGCTCTCTGAGGGCTCCAGGAAGGCAGGGCTGGATCTGAACATAATCTCTGGATTCCCCAACTTGATCCAGTGCTGGGAATACATCAGAGACCCCATGGCATGGGTTGGGGGTGTTAATTAGTCTGACACTGAGACCTCATAGAGGCTACAGGTAGGCCTGCTCTGGGGCCTTACACGGTATGGCAAGGAACACCGGTGGTGGAGTGCTGGCCCTGTTGAGACCCGAGCACCCCCAACCTGAACTCCACGAGCCTCAGGGAAGACTCAAGGGGAGCAGCAGGGTGGATGGGCTGAGCTGGCGAGGAGAGGGGGTGGCCAGGGAATGTGGAGGGGTCCAGGCGTGAAAGGGAAGCCCCTTGCAGAGGAAAGGTGATGAGGGGTGGAAGGAGAGAATGTGGTCTGCAGAAACCTCAGAGGTCCTGGCATCGGAGATTTAGAAATGTACATGAGGCCGGGCACCATGGCTCACGCCTATAATTACAACACTTTGGGAGGCCAAGGCAGGTGGATCGCTTGAGCCCAAGAGTTTGAGACCAGCCTGGGTAACAAAGCAAAACCTCATCTCCACAAAAAATTTAAAAATTAGCCAGGTTTGGTGGTGCACACCTGTGGTCCTAGCTACTTGGGAGGCTGAGGTGGGAGGATTGCTTGAGCCTGGGAGGTTGAGGCTGCAATGAGCCATGATTGTACCACCGCACTCTAGCCTGGGTGACAGAGTAGACCCCATCTCAAAATGATAATTAATAATTAATTTACTGGGCATGGTGGTTAATTTGCTGGGCACACCTGTAGTCTTAGCTACCCAGGAGGCTGAGGCAGGAGGATTGCTTGAGCCCAGTTCCAGACTGCAGTGAGCTATGATTGTGCTACTGTACATCAGCCTGGGTAACAGCAAGACTCTGTCTCTAAAAAAAGAAGAAATGTACATCCAATGTGAGGAGGAAAGCCTTTGGTCATCAGAGGAGAGAACCCGGGTTGGAGGGGGGTGTTTTGCTAAGCCCACAAGGGAGGGCATGAGGCCAGCTGCAAAGCCCGCTATTATTCATGACGCTTGTTAAGGATGATCAGGCTGACTTTATGCAGTGGGGAGCCACTGAGATTGGCATAGGGACCATCGTGATGGGGTTTTGCGGTGGAGGATTGATCGCCAAGGAGTACAAGGAGCAGGGTGGGGATCACTGGATGGAAAGTGACTAAGGAAACATCCGAGCGAAGAAGGGTTCCAGCTAAACCCACCTAACAGAATTCCTGCTGAAGACAGGCCAGGGTGCTCAGACAGCACCTAGGGGTGGTGGAGAAAGAGGAACCCAATCAGACATGGAAGGTGGTTAGATATAGGGGGCTCTGGATAATCTGACTTAGCAGGATTCCTGCTAAAATTGGACAATACAGAGGTGACCACAGAATTCAAAAGGTCAGGCCTGGTTGAAAAAGAGTCCGGGGGCTGGGTGTGGTGGCTCACGCCTGTAATCCCACCACTTTGGGAGGTTGAGGCAGGTGAATCACTTGAGGACAGGAGTTTGAGACCAGCCTGGCCAACATGGCGAAACCCCGTCTCTACTAAAAATACAAAAATATGCCAGGCGTGGTGATGCACGCCTGTAATCCCAGCTACTAGGCAGGCTGAGGCAGGAGAATCACTTGAACCTGGGAGGCAGAGGTTGCAGTGAGCCGAAATCACGCCGCTGCACTCCAGCCCGGGCGACAGGGTGAGATGCCATCGTAAGGGTAATAAGAGTCCAGGGTGGCAGAGTAGAGTTTGTTCAAGGCAAGAATGAGAGAATCCCGGTCACCCTGTGGCTGTCTTCCTGCCCCTCCTGAGTGGCTCTGCAGCCTCCTATGGTGCAGTGGCTGTGGGCAGAGTCCCTGATTCTGACTCCTCCACAGCGTCACCCCTGTGCCTCTAGAGCAGGGGTAGATGGGGCTTCTTTCCCCTTCCAGATGAGGTTCTTACTTGAGGGTTTTGCGGAGGACCTCTCCGTGGATGCCCTCCCTCCCCACATACCTATCTATTCACAACCGTTGCATGCGCCTTCCCCAAACCCAGCCTAGGCCAAGCCTGGAAGGAAGTTAGGGGCCCATTAGGGACAAGCCCAGGAGGCCTGAGTGACTATAGAGGCTCCCAACCACCCCAGAATTTCAGGGGATGCCCAGGAATGACCCCGAGGCAGGGGATGGGGGGAGGGAGCCGAGGCACAGACTGTGCTTAGGTTCACAGGCCAAAGGCACTGGCTGGTTTGAGGAGCCAAACAGTGCTTGTCTGCCTGGAGCTTGGGGTGCAAGTGGGGATGTGGCAAGAGATGGGGCTGGAGGGCTCAGCAGCGGCAGGCACACTGGACGTTTGCCCCGAGGGCAACAGGGAGCAACGAGGAAGTGAGGCAGGCGGCAGCCCTGCCAGATTGCCATCGCATTTATTCCCAGAGGTGGTGGCTGGGAAGTGGATTGGGAGGGACGGGGCTGAAGGCTAGAGACCAGCAAGGGAGTTTGCAGTCATTAAGATGAGAGGTGTCAGTGGCTTGGACCAGGAGTGGAGTTGGGTGGAGAAGGGGTAAGTTCGAGAGGCGTTTTGGAAGGAATGCTGGTGGAGTTTCCCATCGTTTGAGTGGGGAGGTGGGTGGTCTGCAAAGGAAAACAAGGGCTTGGGCACCAGGAAAGGGTGGGGCAGACGCGGGTGGTGGTGCAGGTTTAGGTGGAAGGTCACAGGTTTGGTCATGAACATACTGAGTTCACGGACCTGCGACACAGAGGGACCCAGGCAGGATTCACACTCAGCCCTGCTGCAGACCCAGCTCTTTGGGCTGCCGCCAGTACAGCTATAGAAGAGCAGAGGCACTGACCTGGCCATGCCCTGTGCTGCCCTCAAGCTGCAACCTGGTCTGGGTTCCCTGGGCATCAAGCAGGGGAGGCTGTTCAGGAAAATCCCCCAGGCCCACTCACTCTGATAGCCCAGAGCAGCTGTTCCTGGGACCTCTCTACACTTGGAGGATTACCAAAGACTCCCAGGAGCTTCTGTGTATGGGGCTCATGACTCTTGATTCTTACCGTATGTAAAAGGCTGAATAATGGCCCTCAAAGAAGATCCACATATCAGCCTCCCAAAGAGCTAGGATTACAGGCAGGAACTACTGCACCCAGTTATGGAGGAGCTTTTTAGATAAGCATGGATATTCTTCTTTGATATAAACCAAAAT